ATTACAATATAGGTAATAGGGAGAGTGGTGACCAAGAGAGGACAGTATAGACCGTTAGTATGGGGTGCTTCAATGCACATCCCCAAACCGAGAGGTGCGATCTGGAAAGAACAGTGAGACGATCAACATGATGGGCTTCAAAGCACGTCCCAAGACCATGGCTGGTCTGAGATGTGTTTGTTGACACCTTTTTTAAATGCTGTGAGTGGAAAGTGATTGGCCACACGGGAAAGACGTCCTCGGGGAGGCTGTTCCACAATTCAAGGAAACAGTACGGGAAGGAACGTCGAAGGTAATCGGGACTGGTGCCGGGGGTGGTGTTTAAGAGCTGTTCCCGGTGCTGGCGCTGAGCATGATGCTGCTGGCGGGTTCGAACAGTATCGGCCCGTGGTTTTGGGGGAGGGCGCATGCGTGTCAGACGGGGTGGGCCCTTGCAGCTAACTACCTTGTAGAGATAGGACAGCCCTGCGACCGTCCGTCTGGCCCTCAGACTCTGGAGGACGGTGGTGGGTCCAATCATCTGCATGGCCTTGCGCTGTGCTGTGTCCAACTTCCCAAGGTGGGTCTGGGCAGCACCAAGCCAGGCTAGTGGGGCATACTCGAGTATGGGCCTTACAAAGCCCTTATAGACGGTTAGGCGTCCAGCAGCGTCCAGGATGGGGGCTGCCTTCCGCATGAAATGGAGGCGTTGATGTGCGCGCACAGAAAGCTGTTGGAGGTGGGCGCTGAAGTTGAGCTTCTCGTCGAACTCCACCCCAAGGAGCTTCAACTGGCTGCTGACAGGAACAGGGGTGCCAAGGAATTGGACAGGGGGGAAGTCTGGAGGGGCCAGCTTCCTGGTCACGGACACTAGCTGTGACCATGGTGACTTAGAGGGCTCAAAGGTAACCCTCCAAGTACTTCCCCAGGCTTCCAGCTGGTTTACGGCTGTCTGAAGTGCAGCTGCGGCGGCCTCTGTGGTCTGTCCTACGACTTCCTGGTGCATCTACTTGTACTTGTACTTGTAGCACATGAAAAAGAAAAGCGACGATGTTATGAAGAGAGAGTGAGAGAGGTGGAGCATGCGACGTTCATGCCTGTTGTGCTGTCGGCAAGTGGTGGCATGGGAAGAGCGGCGACATCACTCTATCGCCGAATCGCGTTATTGAGAGCGGAAAGGAGGAAGGAGCAGTACTCCCACGTAATATCTTACATCAGATGCCGTCTCTCATTTGCCCTGTTGCGATCATGCATCATGTGTTTGCGGGGTTCACGGGGTCTTTTCCGTGAGCGGTCGGTTCGGCATCCGGAGTCTGCTGAGCTGGTTGTTGCTGAGGCCCAGGTTGCTCGCATGTGAGAATCTATAAATTGCAGCAGATTATTTTTATTATAAATACTGGACATGGATATTGAATTAAACTGTACTCAATGACTTTTTACATTTTACAGGCTACGTTTTATTATTATTATTATTGTAAAGCTTTCCTTTTGATCTTGTCTCTTATTGTTGTGACCTTTCCACAATAATTGGGTTGCATTAAAAAAAACAAAACAAACTTGTAGCACATGTACAACTGTATGGAATTTGATGCGAACAGGCAGATTATTCCAATTTTATGCGATTCGTATGCAATTTGCCTCGAATTATGCGATTATTCGATTTTGGTAGTGTCGTGCTACGACTTGCTACGTCATAATTCTCACAGTCACCCACGTGGCTTTTGTGCTGCCCACGCTGCACTTTTCCGCAATGTTTTTGGAAGCACTGGCTTTAGCGTACGTTAGCATATTGGCGTACCGTATGCCACGAACCTCACTTTTGCATACGGTTGCCGCCAGCCAGCTTGCCTTTTTCTCTTCCTGACAATCTCTCTCTGCTTGCTTGGCCCTTGCCGAAGCCCCTTTTTCTGGCTCCTTGCCCCTGTACGTATTTCTTGTTCATATGTAGTCTGCCGAATCTTTCTAACTGTAACGTGTAAAGTAATCATTGCCGCTAACTATCGAAGTGTCCGTTGTGACCAGGAAGTGGCCCGATTCGCGCGCCCCCTTAGCAGGCGCAGACCTAAATTTGCTAAATTGGTGACCCCGATATTTCTGTAGGCAAGGCTACATTGTTCACCATGACCACGCCGGCCAGCAACGGGAAGGGCCGTGGAAAACCTTTCCCGGACGCACCCTCAGTTACCAGGGAGGAACTCATGGAGCTCAGGCAACAGCAGCAGGCTCTGCTGGACCAGCTCAACAAGGCACAGGCCACAGCCAGTACCAGTGGTAGTGTTATTGGGAGTAGCCCTGAGTTGGACCGGCCCCCAGCTGTGGCAGCCGTCAGTATCAAGCTGCCCGATTTTTACCCTTCGGATCCCGCTCTGTGGTTTGCCCGGGCTGAGTGTCTCTTCAGTCATCGTGGCATCACTGCCCAGCGGACCAAGTTCGATTATGTAGCTGCGGCACTGTCGGAGCAGTTCTCCATGGAGGTCCGAGAGCTGCTCATCAGTCCCCCGCAGACTGAGCCATACACGACGCTGAAAAGCCAGCTCATCGCCCGCACTCAGATGTCTGAGCAGAAGCGACTCCGGCGTCTGCTCACGGAAGAGGAGCTTGGAGACCGCACACCATCCCACCTGTTGCGCCGCATGCAGCAGCTTATTGGCTCCAGCCAATTGGATGAGTCGATTTTACGGGAGCTGTTTTTGCAGCGACTTCCGAGCAATGCCCAGCTGGTCCTTGCGTCGACCCCAAAGGCTACAAGCCTTTCCGAACTAGCTGCCATTGCTGACCGGGTTATGGAGACAACCCAGGCCTCAGTCTCCGCCATCCAACGCCCATCACAGGACGACGCTCGGATGTCCGCCCTGGAGCAACAGATTGCTGCCCTGACCGAGGCCGTCAGCTCTCTGCATAAACGGTTGGACGGATCCCGGGGTCGCAGCCCTGGCCGTGGATCTGGTCCACCGCGCTCACGGAACAACTCGCCTGGTCGGCCCGGCCTGTGTTTCTTTCATAGCAAGTTTGGCGACCAAGCTAAGAACTGCCGACCACCCTGCTCCCGGTCGTCAAACTAGCTGGCCAGCCCCTGTTGGCGACCAGCACCGCTGGCCTGCAGACCACATGTCGCCTATTCTATGTCCGAGACCGTGTCACGGGTTTGCGTCTCCTAGTCGACACTGGCGCCGCCGTCAGTGTCTTGCCAACCACGTTCCGTAAAGGCAAGCAGACCGCCGTCATTGACACGTTGCGTGCAGCCAACGGAACTAGCATTCCCACATATGGCTGTCGATCGCTCACCCTTGACCTCGGTCTTCGTCGGTCATTCCCATGGCTCTTTGTGATCGCCGATGTTTCTAGTCCAATTCTCGGAGCTGATTTCCTCCACAAGTTCGGTCTCACTGTAGACATCCGCAACCGTGCCCTGCATGACACCGTAACCGATCTCTCCGTGCATGCCGTCCTAGCTCACGGCCAGGATACTTCGTCTCTAGCACCGCCGCTCACCGAGCAACCGGAGGTGAATTTACTCCTGCAGGAATTCCCTGGACTGACCAATTCTGCAGCTCAGCCCCAAACCATCAAGCATGACACCGTTCACTTCATCGAAACGGTGGGTGCACCCGCCCATGCCCGTGCACGCCGTCTGCCACCCGATTGCTAAAGTAGGAATTATGCGAAAAATTATGCTAGCATAATCTGTCAAGGCCTAAGTCGGACTCGTAGTACTCAGTCTTGTACCGGTACGCGGTACGGTATCCCAAACCTGGGTTGGGTACTGTACTGATTTTGCACTACATCATGCATATCACTATCAGTACATGTATACATGATTCATGTCGCGTGCAGATAATGATTACGCATTCGGTAGTTTCGACCTCATTTGAAAGCTACTGTCACACTGGTCAGCCTGTACTTGCTTTGTTCAGTGTGTTGACACTGTTGTTTTCTACTACTTTTGTAGGGAAGATTTTCAGGTCTGGACAGCAGTTGTTGTTTATTCCTTCGCCAAGCGATAGGAGACGACAAAGCAGGGTTGCAGAGCATCCAGGATCAGCAATGAGGGTGGACGTCGTCGCTTGCCTCATGGCGCTGGCCGCCGTCTCGGTGTTGGCACAAAAACCGGCGCCGAAGTATCCTGGACTTGCAGGCACGTTCGTTGCTGAGGTGGAGGCCAATATCCTGAACAAGAACTACACTGTGTACACGAGAGAGTTTTTTGACGACGTGCAGAATGTGTCCCGCATCGAGGTGATGCGAAACGGCTCGCGCCATGTCCGCGTCAACGATTTCCGACGTCAGGCGTCGTATCATGTGGACGTGGACAAGACGACATGCACGTCGGGACCCATCAAGCCGGGGCCGGCGGTGAGCGTCGGCGCCGACGGACTGGCACACATGGTCGGCGTGTCCGACTTCTTCCACTTCGGCAAGAAGTTCCACGACACGTACGAGGGCCAGGTGCGAGTGCGTGGCATTCTGTGCGACAAGTGGCGCGGCCAATACAGCGGGTCACAGCGCGGCCACACGTTCAACTACAGCCTGGAGTGGTTCTTTGCCGCGCAGGACAACTGGACCATGCCGATTGGAAACATCGAGCCGGTGGCCGTTCCCGTACGGCTGGTGTTGCTTGGCACGGTGAGTGCCGCCGGGTCCGCTCAACGACATGTCCACCACGTTTACGACTTTGTCGGCTTCCGTACGGGTGCAGCAGCTGCCGCGGCCATGGCTAACATGAATGAGTTGTTTGAAGCTCCACGGGGATACAACTGCAAGGGAGTTGGTGTGGTGAAGACGTTGCCCAAGTTGCCGAGCCGATTCTCGTTCACGATGTCGTCGAACAATGGCGAGTTTGGTCACGTCAGCCACCGCTCGTATGTAAGTTGTGTCACATAGTGTGTACAGGTGCAGGGGGGGGGGGGGCATGTGTGTGTGTGTTTGCGTGTGTGTGCATGTGTGTGCATGTGTGTGCATGTGTGTGTGTGTGTGAGTGCACGTATATGTGCGTGTATGTGTGTTTGCTCGTGTATGACCTGAACAGAGCCCCTTTAGGTGGCCGAAACCTAGGGTGAGCTTTGATTGAGTGTCACTATTACCCTGTGTGTCTGTCTGTCCATCTGTCTGTCTGTATGTGTGTTTGTGTGCACGCGCATCAAATTCGGTGTTCTGCAGTATGGTTATGACGCGGATCGTGCCGAGACGGTCTCCGTCTTCCATTTCCACCCGAACAACACGCACCCATATGGCACTGGAAGCGTGCGTTTCCTGCGCAACTTCCGCGAAGGTACCCAGTACATCATCTCGCGGCACAACTGTACGCTGTCGACGCTGCAGCCGTCCGGCATCTCTGACATCGGCGAGGAAATCTCCTACTTGCACGGCCACGCCTCGATAGCGTCGCCGAACGCCGTGTTCGGCTTCGAGGCGTCGCGCAACTTCACCTACGTCGGCCCGCGCACGGTGGAAGGCGTGCACGGCGAGACTTGGTCAGGTAAGATCTCGTCGGCAATAACAGCAACTACGGTTGCGCTCGGTGAAGTCCAACCCGAAATGGATATCCGGCGCCTTTGACCTGCACGGCTGTTGACGCCCTGAAAGTGGCACGAATGCTGCTGGCCATACACTTGTATGTATACTGTGATGTAATAGGAACTGGGCCAGGGCGCCAGCTTTGCACCGTGGGTCGGATTTCACCGAGTGCAACTGTACTTGTAGGCATTGAAATCCGTGTGCGTGGATCTGCTGCTGTCTCTGTCTTGATCTCTAATTGTCATGGCTCCATCGGGCATTGTCGGTAATTTTCCCGGAACGAAACAGTTTAGTCCCTCTCTCTCCCCCCCCCCCCCCCCCCACGAACAAAAAAACACAGTCATTGACTTATGGATTTAATGCGTTTTGCATCTCAGCTCTTCTATTGCTCTGTGTTACCTTCCTGAATTCTGCATGCAGTACTGCGTGACGATGTGAAGATTTACCCGGGCCAGCCGGCCCCACTCACGCTCTGGGAGTATACGTTCAGCTTGCCCACCTGGGCGTTTGACACGTTCCGCGGAGAGTTGAACTCCACTCAGGTAAGCCCGTCTCCTACTCACTGCAAAGAAATAAATGTAAGGCCAAACCGAAAAAAAGTCTCTAGTTTCAGGTAACCCAACTGACCGTGTTTTTGAGCGCCGACTGAATATTTTCTGTGCAGGCAGTACTGTAAAAGCCATTATTCTAACGAGGCGCATATATAACGATTTCCCAAAATTGACTAGTTTACGTGTATCAAAGGTAACGATTTTTACTCATTCTCAACGCTCAATATGTATAACGATTTCTATTTTAACGACAGATTTCTCCTCGTTAACTCGTTAGAGTTAGCACTTCGTTATAATATAATTATATGGCTTTTATAGTATTTACTTGCGTGAGTGCATGATCTTTTCGGATTGTTCTTTGAGCAAAGTGCAGCGTTTATACTCGCATTGTCTTTCTACCGTACTTCCCCACATGGACTTATAAGTGAAAATTTTCTACAAAAAATATGTTTTGATGTGTGAACCTGTTCGGGTAGAAGCCCATGCGCTTATATGTGCAATAAAGGTTTGTCTGTGTCCTAAACAATGGTGTTATCACAATGCTTAGCAGTATATTCAGCTCCCGGGTGTTACACCAATAGTGTTCACATATAAGCGCATGCGCTTATAATTGGGGGGGGGGGGGGGGGTGCGCTTATGTCCGGACATCAGCACATGCGCTTATATGTGCGGAAGTATGGTACGACTTTGTAGGGTCTAGCATTACGATCGTGAAGGGCTGCAACATCACTTTCTACTTGTTGACCTGGTTGACTGTGGTTAGCAGGTGCTTTTGTTACCTCACCAGTATGTGTAAATTATATCTGGAAATAAAAAGTAAACCGAACGACCGACCGTTGAAACTCTGGCCGTGTTACCCGAAACAAAGACATTCAGTTTGGCCTAATGCACTTTATTCAACTCTTTGCCTGAGTTCGTAAAGTGTCGCGAATAGATAATTTAGGGGTCAAACGGGTGTACCTTTAACGAACGGGTCATTTTCTTAATGGGCGGGTTAACCCTTTAGCAGCCATGTTTAATTTTTGCGCCAGTTTCACATAAATCATGATTTTAATTCATCTGTTCTCAGGTTGTATTTTGACATCACCAGGAGTACATAACCAGTGGCACTGGTTATGTACATGACTGTACTCTTGATATCACATTATGATTCGCAAATTGATTTGTGTCTGATAGTTGTAGAGGTAGATATACTGGGTGCGAAAATGCAACAGCAATGCAGACATCCAGCGTGGAGTTGTAAATAATTGACTGCCGCCTGGAATGCTCAATCCCAGCAGTGTTGTTTCATACTGATTAGATCAACTAAATCCAAACGGTTACCCTTTTACTAACGGTACCGGAGATTAACGGCCGGGTACCCGGAACACCCCTTTGACCCCTAATAGATATTATATTTATTTGTTGTAGGCTGTAACAAAATCACAGCCATTCCGTTCCCCGGGGACGCAGGACACAAAGGACAAGACTAGTTTGTTTTACATTATATTATTGAAAGTACACATGACGGGAAAACAAGGACAACTGACTCCCATGGGACGAACGGCCAGACTGACAAAAGGACTCTCGACGACAACATCGCGCATGCTCATATCACACATGCACGCTACTAGACGAAGACAGTGTGGGGAATGTCATCACACACGAAAACAACTAATCATTTTACAGCAAGGCCTTGTGCCGTCACCCTCGATACACGAATGGCTGAATGCTGTCGCTTCCGCTTCTGCTGCTGCTGTTGTGGCTGCTGCTGGTAACTTTCTCTCATCGTCTTTTTTTTGTTGTGATCATGTCTCAGTCACCTTCTTCACCACCACGGTCTTACAGTGCAATCGTAAATATCTCTCTCTCCTTGTCTTTGTCGTGCCCTCTTTTTAAATTGCCCTGCAGATCCCACTGGAGATTCGTGGCTATCTTGCGGACAGTGCCACCTTGATCTCTATCTCCGTCATATCAAACTTCGAAGTCGGCGCCCCCGGGGAGGCTGTCCTGGACGACAGCACCTGTTTCCATGGCAAAGAACAGGCTACGCTGACGTTTGACCTTGAGACGGACTATGATGATGACCGCGAGCTACACCGCTCGCTGGTCCAGTCCCTGGCCAAGACCATGGAAGTGACGGTCGACCGCTTTGCTGTGACGGTGAGTGGCGTTGCGACCTGTGTGAACAGGGGTGTATCCGGCAACGAGGGTGCTGGGGATAGTGGTGGTGTACGTGTGTGTGTGTGGGGGGGGGGGGGGTGGGGGTGGGGGTCGGGTCCACAAGATAGAGTGAGTCAGCCAAGTTGGTGGTAATCCATTTCTGCCTGTTGTTTGTTCTATCGAATTGTGGATCTCAAGCATGTGTATGTGTGTGTGTGTGGGGGGGGGGGGGGGGGGGTTCTGCACCTTGTCCTCACCCACTTACTGAGGTGTGGTGAGCCCATAAGTGGGATCATTTTCAAGTCCACCCAGAGTTTTGGGGATTTCAGGGGGTGTCGGCCGTTGGGCGGTTCAATAGCCAGTTGAGTTATTTCCAAGATTCCTTTTGAGTCTCTCTCCCCTCTCCCGGGGAGACCCACGTGACCAGTTTTGGCAGTGAGCAACAAGTACAAGTGTGTGTGTGTGTGTGTCTCTCTCTCTCCTCCTCTCTCTCTCCCTCCCCCTACATTTTCATCTTCCTGTTTCAAACTTGCGTGTTGTCCCTTGTGCCTTCGTCGTCCCCACTGCAGACCTACCCCGGTCCTAGCAACAGACTGACGGTGGTCGTCCGCGTGCACGACGTTCCCAAGATCGGTGACAAGGCGCTGCTTGACAAGCTCACGTCCAAGTCGTCGGCCATCCGCCGGCTGTACCGCGAGATCCACCACGGCGACTTCTTCGTCTCCAGCGCCGCCACCGGGAAAGTGCAAGCTGCAGAGCACAGCTTCTCGTCGTCCGAGCAGAGCACGAAAATTGCGCTCTACCCCGGACACATAGTTGCCATCTGCCTGGGCGCGCTGTCCCTCGGCGTTTTATTCGGCGTGGGTGGAGTGTTCTGCGTACAGCGACGGCTTTATCTGAAGATCGCGTATCGCCGTGACAGCACGATTTGAAAACTCGAACTGTCGCCGGTGTGTTGCCAGGCCTGGTCCGTTGCTGGCGCGGTGTGTTGCCAGGCCTGGTCCGTTGCTGGCCGCGCGGCGAGTGAGCGAGCGCTTGCCAATGTACTGTCTCGCCGGCCGTCTGCTCTGCTCCGAACACTGCCCCGAACGCGGGTCCAGGCTAGCTCACCACCGCCTTCTCACGGCGGTGCACCGATCGGGTTGGTGCCGACGTGTGATCCAGTCAAGCGCCTCAAGTGCCAACACCACCGTTGCCCCCGCTGCTGGTGTTGGTTTCCACGCAACTCACGCCGCTCATCTCCCGCAGCACATTCCGTTTCACCCCTCTTCTTTTTTTTCGGTGTGCTGGGCTAGCTCACGCCTCGGCTCACGGTATACCGCCAGAATCGCGGTGACGTCAAGATGTTGGTTCCTGCCTGATTGATGACGTCATCTTGTTTATTTTCTCCCATTCTTCATTTCCGGTTCTTACTGCATGCATGTTCATGATGTAAGTTACTGGCAAATACGGATCGTGTGTTCATTGTTTTGAACGAGAACTAACTTTCTGTAATATATTTTATCATACTTGTACACACAGATACGTACGTATGACAAGAAAATAAATACTTTTGTTTGCAAAGTACATTACTAATACTGGTACTTGTTTTCTATGTCACTAGTACTAGAGATAGCTCTGATTACACATGTTGTCGTTTTCTAGGCATCGGGTATAGTTTCCTCGCATAGTGTGAACCTGGATCAAGTGTATGTGTACTTATCACATGACGGACTGATTGTAGTCATATCCGGATCCTAACTCCCTATCGCATACAGTGACATTGTCATTGGTGATCAAAGTGAAGAAGAAAGAAAGGTTATTTGACATGGTAGTATACCGGTACTGCAGTTTTTGTGGCTAGTTTCCCGGCGAGTTATCGAATTTGTGTGCAATGGGTGGTATAATCGTGAATGTGCACGTGTGTGTGGTGTGTGTGTGTGCGTGCGTGCGGCGAGAGATATCAGAGGCAGCAGGACCTGCATGCAGCGGCATGAGACCGGATGTTCTGCCGGGGAAGCCATGATGCTACCCCTTTCTTCCCCTCGTCATGAGGGCAGCTTAGCGCGAGCGTGTGTGCATGCATGCTTGCGAGCGTGTGCACGTGGTGATACTGTGTCAGTCATTGTTGAGTGTGCGATGTACAAACCGTTACATGATTGTACAATACTGGCCAAAAATCCGGCCAATGCTGCACACGGTACTGTAGTCGACTACGCGTATACGATGCATGCAGCATTGGCCGGATTGTTTTTGACAAAATTAATATTGTTGCACCATCCAGCAGTAATATTGCAGAGAATAATGCAAAGAAAATGATGACATGATGTTGCCTACACGTACACGGCCTGCCAGCAAGGAGAACAAAACGCCTGCCATTCTCGCACAGCGATAAGCCACACTCGCTACACACCAAACAACAGCACATTTGTATTGCGGTTAGGAGGGCCAGAAGTGTGACACCACGTTCTTTTACATGGAAGGATGCGGAATTGTAGAATAGCGGAAGAAGGGACAGAGCACATGGATATTCTGTGAAAGCAACGCAATGGCAGCAACTGAGAGAGCAATGACCGAAAACCAGAAGCACCACTTGGGACCGTCAGATTAATTTGTCTGGGCCGAGCCAGCCGGGAAAAAACCCTCGCGCCGACGGACGCATTATTTTTTTGAGGGAAAAAACCGGGTGTAAAACCCCAAGTGGCTAATCTGACAAGTACAAAAAGCAGGGAGGGAGGGTGGGTACCTCAAGACGACTGGCCAGTCGTGCTCATGCGCAGCGGTTTAGAGAACATGTGAAGATGTACGAGTAAAAAGAAATTGATCAGATGACTGCTCACTTGTGAGAAAAAAATACGAGAAAAAACCGCTGTGACGAGAAAATACTTCTCGCCTCTGTCGCTGCGCTCTGCCGTCGAGAAGATACCATTCTCGCACAGCGATAAGCCACACTCGCTACACACCAAACAACAGCACATTTGTATTGCGGTTAGGAGGGCCAGAAGTGTGACTGCTAGACAACGCATAGTAGGGACAGAGCAGTGGAAGAAGTGGACAGAGGACAACGCGAATTCAGCTATATATGCGCATATCTGTACGAGTATGGTATAGACAAGCTAACGCCGTGTTCGGCCTCCGCTACTAAGCAACGTCATAGGCCAAGAGATTGAGACAACTGGAGGAGCTGGGGAAGCGACTCCTCTATATACCTATTCTTGGAGGAGTCCGACTTCCAACCACCATGTCGCTTGATTAGTCTGTCAGCGGTCCCAGCACTGGCAGCAGTAGAAGCGGCTCCAGAGCGCATACTGTGAAGGCCGTACTCCTTGGGGTCAAGGCCGACGATGGCCAGGCATTTTCGCACCTTCTCCAGGGCGCACGAGTAGCTGATGGCGATAGGCCTTAGTATGGCCTGCTTGCGGCAGCTGCCCAAGCGACAGAATAGAGGCTGGTGGGGCAGATGCTTGCCAGCGGTGAGGAAGCGCTGCACCAGCTCGACGGGACAGGTGGTTAGCCCAGATCTGGCAATATACACCTGGTGGCCTTTGCGAAACTGGTCGTTCTTCCTTTTCTGCAGCGAGATCACCATGTGGGTGTCTGTAAAACTGGTGTCGGAAGGCGTCAGGCGGTGCAGCTCGTCCCATCGCAGCATTGCGGAGAAGCCCAAGACAATGAGGGTGATTGTCTGCAGGTCATCCAGGGAAGTGGACGAGTCGGAGTAGTGCTCGATGATGCGCTGCACTTCCGTGGACACGAGTGCCTTCTTCGGCTTGACAGGGCGCGCAAGCAATCTCTGCACAGCCCGATGGCACTGAGCGACACATGCGTGTCGGGTGGGGTCTGGGAGCGTTGCTTTCTGGTGCACCCATGAGATGCTTGCAACAGCGGTGGCAACGGGTGCCGGTGATGAGGATGACAGCAGTAGGTGGACAAGGTAGAGGCCAACGTGAAGACCGTCGGCGGGAAATGCGGTGAGGGAGGCTGATGATGCGAACGCATGCCAGCGATTGAAGCCTCTGGCGTACGTCTGAACGGTCGAGGGTGCGTGCCCGCACAGCATCACTTTCGGCAGAAGGTGCATCAGCTTGCCGATAGCGCTGTCCTCCTTCGCTAGTTGCTCCAGTGCCGTCCAACCCGGGATGTGTTGTGGGGCTGTAGGGAAGAAGCATAAGACCAGAAGAAGGGACAAGGACAGGGGAAAGGGCGGCCACCACGCCGACAGGTTTGCCGGCATGGTAGTTACCAACATTGGGAGCGTAAGTTAGAATAAGTATCCAGCGAGCAGCAGCACTATACGGCCCCCGTAATGTGGCTTGCGCCGGTTTAGACTTGGAAAAGGAGCGCCCTGCATCGCTGACATTGTGTAGCTACCCTTTTGTGCCAGCGGCAGCCCAGACTCCGTCTACCCCGTTTCACGGTAGTTCAGGGTGGTACGCTGTCTGACCGTGTATGCTATCACACCAACTACCTCGTGTGCAGAAATATTTGACGGAAATCTCGCCTTGCGGTTGTATTGCTCTGGGTAGAAATAGATCGGCCTATATGGCCGGAATTAGTGCGTAAGGGGGAATGGGGGTTGCTGCTAAACAAAACCAGAGAAGTTGAACATGAGACACGAAAATGTATCAGATTGCATGATTGGTAGCATCACCACAGTGAGGATGTGAGTTTATACTGCCGAATGACGCTGACCGCTGACTGATGCTGACCGCTGACTGATGCTGACCGCTGACTGATGCTGACTGCTGAATGACGCTGACTGCTGACTGACGCTGACCGCTGGCTGGTGCTGACCGCTGACTGCTGGCTGATGCTGACTGACGCTGACCGCTGGCTGATGCTGACCGCTGACTGATGCTGGCCGCTGACTGATGCTGACTGCTGGCTGATGCTGACTGCTGACTGATGCTGACTGATGCTGACTGCTGGGTGACGCTGACAGTTGACTGACGCTGCCCGCTGAACGATGCTGGCTTCCGGCCGCTGTTCTTCCGGGTTGTTGTTCGGGATTAAGGCGGCCCTTGCCTGGGGCGGTTGGGCTTGTGCTGGCCGCATCCGCAGACTCTTACAGCGAGTACTTCGCATGTTGGGCTATCGCTGCCGAAGAGGTTCCACTTACACTCACCCGAGATGAAAAGGTTCTCCCGAGGCGGGATGACCATATGATCGACCACCATATCTCGGAAGCCCGCTGGAGACCATAGCAGTGGCCACCATGTGGCCGAAGGCCAGAAAGGGAGGATCAGAGTGCCGTCTGCGTGGCAAGCTTGCATGTGGCGAATCGTGCGACCGATGAGGTGGATTGGAGGTTCGATCCAATTGTTCTCGTCGTTCCAGCTCACAGAGAATGCGTCCACAGACGTGCAGCCTGGGGACCACCATCTACTGCAGAAGCGCTGCATCTGAGCGTTCTGCGGAGTAGCGAAGCGGTCGATTGTATGTGGGCCCCATTTCCGGTCAAGCATTAGGAAGACGTCTGGCGCAAGCTGCCAATCGTCCTGGTCCTTCACCTTTGAGAAGAAGTCAGCTCTCTCATTCTCTTCCCGAGGTATCCACTCTGCCCGGAACGTGATACCTTGTCGGATGCAGATACGGAAGAGTGCCAGGGCTTCGTCGTGAAGATGGGGGTGTTTGCTGCCAGATGCGATTATCGCGACTGCCGCCTGATTATCTGATCGGTGGATCACTTCGCATCCTGACAAGACTGGTAATAGAGATAGTATCACGTATCTAACGGCAATGAGCTCACGGAGAGTGCTGCTTGTTTCACGTACCTCTGGTGGAAGCGGTCCTCTGGCAACGCAGGTGCCGAGCTTTGAAACGGAGTATCCGCCCCACCCAGTTTCGCTGGCATCGGACCAAGTGAGAACTGCAGAAGCTGCTACGAGGGGCCTCAGCGGGCGGCCGTGGAATTTATGGAAACTTTCCGACCAAAACGTGATTTCATTGCGGAGCTGGGGAGTCGCATGTACAATCTCCTCCCACGAGGCGGCTGTGGAGATAGCCTCATACATTGCTCTAGTTTGTAGCCGTGTTACCGTACCGAAAGCTGGGCTCATTGAGATGATGGAGCCTGCGATCTTGGCTACTTCTCTGGCTGTGGCATGATCAAGGTTTGTTGTGGTGAGGAGGTGCGAGAGTTTCTCTACGCGCGCTTTGGTCACCTTGATGGTGCCCTGGGCCAGGTCAACATGGAAGCCCAGCATGTCTCCCTGTTGTGATGGTGTGAATCGGCTTTTCTCACTGAGAATAAAACCTGATTTCAGGATGTCTGCCCGAACAATATCAGCAAGCTTGCTAGCAGCAGTCTGTGACGATTCTGCCCCCGCACCGTCGTCTAGATACATGAACAATTTGTGACCATTGCGTCTCCACCAATGCACCAGATCTCTGGTGATTTTCGTAAATACATGTGGTGCGGTGCAGAGTCCGAAAGGTAACACTGTAAATGTGTAGAGCTCTCCTCGCCATTTGAATCCCAAATATTTGTGATACCTGGGATCAATGTCGATATGGTGGTAAGCGGACTTCAGGTCGAATGAGAAAAAATACTCCCCCGTTTCAAACATGGTTCGAAGGGTGCTGATATCCTCGTATTTGAACCTAGGTGCCAGGAGGTGCTTGTTGAGATATCGCAGGTCTAGGATCAGCCTCAGCTTTTTCTGCTCAACTACACCTAGAGGGCTACAAATGCTGATCTTGTCAGCAGTGGTTTTCTCTATGCATTTTGCAGATAGTAAACTGACGATAGCTTCGGACACAAATGATACATGTTTGAAACAGCTTGAGTGATTTTTTGCAGCATAGGGTGTGGGAGTGGTTGTGAACGGTAGATAGTAACCATTACTTAATACATTGAATGTGAAGGACGAGCAGCCAATAGATGACCAAAAACTTAAACAATTACGAAGGCGACCGCTGAGTACAACATTACACGACGAGGATGATTCACAATAAAAATCATTGGCAGAATGCATAGGATAGATCAACTCAGCAATATTACATTGAGGATACGATTGAGGATACGCGTGATTCAAGTGATAATTCTCTGGCTCATCGAGCTCTCCTAGCGTTTCCAGAGGCTGCGTCTGGGCAAAGCTTGGCCCAGTGGCCAGGTTTTCCGCAGGCGAAGCATACGACTTTCGCCGACGGGGCAGCAGACGACTGCTGGTCGGTTCGCGGAGCTGGAGGGACCCTGGGGCTCCGCGGCGAGTATGGCTCGTAGTGAGGACGAAAACTAGAACTGGGCCTCACTGATCGGCTCTGTCGCCTGGTCTTCTCCACTTCAGTCTCAGCCCTCTTGATCCTTTTCGCGTCCTCGTCATCGTCGGCAATGTCATGCTCGCCTTTGTACTGGATCGCCGTGGCCCAGTCATATTTGTCGGCGATTTTTATAATTTTCTTCCTTTTGTCGCATAAGGACATACCTTCCATGATGGCGGTTTTGGCAGGTCCATCCGGGATGGTCCGGGCCGCGTCCTCCAGCTTCGCCTCCACCTGGTCCACAAAGTCGTGATGCTCCTTGCAGCTCTCCTTACGAAAGGAGTAAGTAGTTGTTTGCTTTGCTTTGAGGCGATGCAACTCCGCAGTGGCAGTTTCCAGTTGCTTCTTGCATGCCTCCATTTCAGAGACAGACTTCTCTGCTAGAGCATGCTGCTCTTTGACAAGTAATTAGTTGTGTCAGGTTCGTTGCCCAGTCTGGCGTGGCGGACGAAGCTGAAGCGGGAGCAGATGCGTTCTCAGCCATGCTGGTGAGAAAAAAAATTTGATAAATGTCTGTTGGAAAGACGAAAAAGAACGTGGTGTCGAAAAGGCTACCTCAAGACGACTGGCCAGTCGTGCTCATGCGCAGCGGTTTAGAGAACATGTGAAGATGTACGAGTAAAAAGAAATTGATCAGATGACTGCTCACTTGTGAGAAAAAAATACGAGAAAAAACCGCTGTGACGAGAAAATACTTCTCGCCTCTGTCGCTGCGCTCTGCCGTCGAGAAGATACCATTTCCATTCATCTGCATGCTGTGCCTGCCCACACACACAGACACAAACACACTGGGCGCTAGTACCTATTCACCCATCCATCCACACTGCTGACGCTCTAGATGGCAAGGCAGTGACAGCTGCTGTCAAGAAAACCTGTTGGTCCTGTTTCGCAGGGATTTCTGACGCCGCGTGGTGAATCTCCTCTCATAAAGCTGAGTCAGTCTTGTCTAGAAAACTGCCCAGAGCCATCCATAAAATACTCAGAAGCATGTACCCTTGGCCTTGCCTTGGCCTTGTGTCCTTCACTGCTTCAGTCTTCACTGCCTTCACTTCAGTCTGTACTCGATCGTGCCTCCACTCAGCCAATACTGGGGGAGTCGTCATGCATGTATTTTTGACGACTCCCTGTAATGGCTGTGTATGTTTGCAACGGACGGTGCTTTTTTCTTCTGTCGCAAAAGGACTCCTGCACAAAACACGCATGGGCTGGAAGTGACGCGACAGCTCGAAGCAGGCTAGCCTACGGTATGCCCCTCACACACCCTCTGCCACAGCCAATCAGTGCTGGTGCAGGCACGTGACACATCCTCGGAGCGTACGCGTTTGCCAGGTTTGGCATGCCTCGACTCGAGCCGAGAAGTGAAGCATCATCACCAAGCACAGCGCTAGCACAGCAGCAAGAAAACGGGGCTCTGCAATGCATGTGCCAGTCTGGTTTTGTTTGAGTGCAAGGAGGAAGTAATTTTTTATAATCGTTTTGCTGTCTGTGTTGTGCTGGTGTTCGTCGTCCAATGACTCCTTCCCTGGGAAAATCTGACTTGTCGCGAGCAACTGTCATCTCTTTAGCTTACCCCTCTCCGTGCGGATCTATGAATACGTTCAGGAATCGAAATTTTCACGACCTGGAGCAGGAGAGGTTCCAGCAACAGCAACAAGAAGAGCAGAGAGAAAGTAATCGTCGCAGCACGAAAACGACGGAGAGCCATCTGCTGAGCGCCGCCAGTCTGGCAACAGTTTGTCAGCTAGAGGGTTCACCAAGGAGAATGCAGAGACAGTAGTGATGCAGGGCCTGAAACACGCCAACTCTACCTTTCGTTCTGCCGGCGACGGCACCTCTCGTACCAACACGGCCATTCTGAACAGCAACGGCATCAGCAGCGGAGACAAGACCAACATGGCAATGGGATCTGCCAGCGTTCCGCAACCACCAATGGCGTTGCACATGCAACATTCGCGAACAGGCTCGGCAGCCATCAGTATGCTTTCTGCAGGAATTTCTCAGTTTGTCCATCATCCGATGTATACATTCAAAACGCATCGGCAGCGTCGTTCAACTTTATCCGTCAAGGACTTCGTTATGAGTGCACGGTCCAGCCCAGGATTTTTATTCAAAGGTGAGTGAATCTGGTGCCTTCTCCTTTTAGCATGTGTGTCGTATCATTTTTTGTACAATGGACATGTGCATGTGCTTGGCAAAGTAATGTTCAGTTGTACAACAAGTCTCACGACTGAAAAGTTCGATCAGTGCGACTCTGCGGTAGATTTCTATGTCACCACACTGTAAAATACAAACAATGCACGGGTCGATCATCTGTTGCATTTGTCAGCCATGTTGCGATCGCGCTTTTTCCTTCTGGTGGATGTCAAATTCCCGAAGCAGAGATCCGATCTTCCGAGTACTATTCCCATCTTAGTCCTGTGCTCTCCGCGACTTCCCTTGAAATCGTTTGCTCAGCTGATGGCTGTTGTTTCGGTTGCGGTGGCATCACTGTATGTGTGCATGGTTTGGTGTTGTGTGGCTCAAAGACAAGTACAAAGTCATGAAGTGGCTGCCTGTGCGCGAAGTAAAAGCTGTCCACGTTTCGACACACGTGTCCCGCAAAGCGGAATGTACGAATGGCATGCATGTCGACGGGTGTTTGTCGTGCTTTCCGTACCTACGTTGTACGCAGCTCCTCTGTATGGCATTGTGGGCCATTTATTGCTTTGATTATTTGAACGAGTCGAAGTCCGCTTCCGTCCATATGCGCCCGATCCATTGATCTGCTGCAAAAGCTTTCTGCTCGTGATCGTCGGTGGTGCTGGAGTAATGACACTGGCTGAGTCTTATCCTGGGTGGCTTTCCTTGATTCCTGAGTTTTTACTATGCCTCCGATTGAATCATTGAATCTACAACAGGCACCTGTATTTCACCGGCCGCTGAGATCTTGTGTAGTCAGTGTAGTGTACATGACGATTGTGCATGTTGTAGATCTGTTGACTGCGTGCTGCAGGATCACTCTTGACTCCTGAGATCTGTAGACTGTAGTGTAGTGTAGTGTACACGTAGTGCAGAAAGAGGTTGCTGTGAATGATGTGACTCCTGTTCTAAAACATGACATGGACACCACTGTTCATTCTGCTGCTGCTGCTATCTGCATTACCATGATTACAAGACCTGTGAGAAGGCAGTAGGATAACTCACAAGCATCATGTACGTAACACACATGCACGGCGCACACACACACGCACACCCACACAAGTCACTGGAAAAGATCTTTTGTGATGGTGACTGTTTCAACTTTCAAGTGCGTGTTCTTGTTAGACCCCCTCCCCGTACCAACTGATCCAGCTGTGGTGTTCTGGCTTGACTTGGGAGGTAGGACTATAGCTACAAGCTGCACTGGCACTCTCAAGTGAAGAGAGCTGCAATTATTTCACTGGTGATTGCTGACCATCCCCGTGACACTTCAAGAGGTGTTTGCCATGTTGCATTTTTTGAGAGTGTTCCGTCCACTGGCTCACACTCCCAGGGACAATCCATGCATCTGATAAGCAGGCGTGTGGCAGTCTTGTTTTGCTGCCTGGCCTTGCAGACATGCAGTCTACACCACTTAGGGGCGATCTGTAAATACCGATATTTTCGAAAGGAAAACTAGTCATTCCTTTTCAACCCCCTCCCTGGAAACAGGCACATACAAACGGTACACAGTATTGATATTTTTTCTTTTTTTCTGGACGTGCCCACACATACAAACTGTGCATCGATGTTTTTTGAGAAACGAACAGGCGCTCACCCCCCCCCCCCCCCCCCCCCCGAACGACTATTTTTCGTTTCTAAATAAATATCTATATTTACTTGATGGCTCCTTGTAAGGAACTCATATGACTGTAGTGAATTCCGTGATGTAGCGAACCATTGTCGATGTTCCAGTTTTGAAACCATACAGAGTGGACCCTTTGTAACGAACTGTTTTCGTTTATCACGGACCATTTATTGTAGTGGAGAAAGTGTCTGCTCCGAACATCGGAGCTCCAGCTTCCTGGCGACTGACTTGACACTTGACTGACTCGCGACTGCGTCTGGAGCACACGAGAAGCCCGTCGAACCCTGCACTCAGCAAACGTAACAGAAACACGGCACTAATCACCGCCGATGTCGCAGCATCTTTGGTACATTTCTTGTAGGGCCGCATAATAGCCAAGTGAACTCATACACTATGACGCAGTCCTGCGCCGCCGCACGGCAGCCACGGCGTGTTGTTTGTACGGCTACGCGCAAGCCACACCGTCACGGGGCCAAGGAGTGCCTACAAACGTTCTCCTGTGTGCTGGTATGAGAATCAAACTGTGTCCTGTCGCGCCCCAGTCTCTCCTCTGCTGATTTTGCTGCGTGAATGAGACTATCTTCCAGCTTGATGATGTCATGCTATGTAGGCTCTCTTTCTGATGATGTCATGCTAAAGAGATGATGTCATGCTAAAGAGTCTCTCTTTCTGATGATGTCATGCTAAAAGAGTCTCTCTTTCTACTGTGTTGTATGGCGACTAGGTTAAGATTACCAGTAATAGCTCCGTTGTGATTTGGCCACGTATGCGCTGTTGAACTTAATGAGGCGTGTAATCAAAATCTGGTTTCCTGCACTGCTGACAGGGTGCGAAAGGGAGTGAACAGAAATGTGCTGATGACACGTGTGACTTGCCTCTTAAATTCTCAGTGCCTCTTGCCTACACATGACTGACCCCAGGCGGAGTTTTGAGATTTAATATGTGATTTCTCCAAGTTCCTGATATGGAAAAGTGAATTGTATAAGCACAGGCTAAAGTGCTGAAGTGACCGCAGGGGATGTGTCTTATCTTGTGTGTCCTGTGCGTAAGAAAGTAGTTGCGTGGGTGTGCGTGTGCCCTGTTGCGTGGGTGTGCGTGTATGTGTGTATGTAGGCAGTTATCTGGCGCTAGTCTTAATCTCTTTCATTCAGACCGTGTCCAGTGTCGTTGCTATCAGAGAAAATCTGTGGGTATAGATCCTGTGCGTTTGCAGATTTGCGTGCATCTCTTGCGATGGGCGTATATATGGTACATGGTATACGCAAGTTAGCAACACAGCTTGTGCGTGCATGTGTATTTTATTCCCGTAGCTATGCAGAAGACGTTACTTCAGTAACGTCTGGCGCTAGCCAGGGTCCACACAGCTTTAATTTGGTATTTGTGTGTTTGTTTGTTTGTTTGTTTGTTTGTGTCACGCCTGGCGCTATCCCGTATCTGACGGCAAAAAATCATAGGGATGTTATAAATTTTTCAATTCTCCTATTTTTTCAGGCATATCCTGGGATTCGAACCCGCACTATCGCCCTTCATGCATTCCCCCATACACTTCGCATTCATACTCATTCTTCCAAGTTGCTTCACGTTATGATCTTGCGTTTGAAAGCCCTATTTGAATATTGCGGGCAGCTGTATGTGGCCAGCTGTGTTTGATGGTACGGTACGGGAGACGGTGTCGTATTACCCTCGATCGTACCTCTCCCGTACCTATCCCTTCCGTGCCGTACCATCAATGACGGCTGGCCACAATGCATATTCAAATAGGGCATTCAAAAAATGCAAGATCATAATGTGAAGCAACTTGGAAGAATTAGTATGTATGAGAAGTGTATCGGGGGATGCATGCAGGGCGCGATAGTGCGGGTTCGAATCCCAGGTTATGTCTTAAAAAAGGAATTTTTTAAAGAATTTATAACATCCCTATGCTTTTTTTGTCTAGGTCATCAAGGCAAAAAAGCATAGCGTAGGGCCCTGAGCTTCCAAGCTCTCTCGTTTGGTGTGGCAGGGTACCCATGTGAGTCTAAATACTTATATTTAAATCTGTGTGTGTGTGTGTGTGTGTGTGTGAATGTGTGTGTATGTATGCGTGCGCGTGTGGTACATGGTGCGTGCGTACACGTGTGCGTTTGTCACATGGGATGTTGTCAGGTGTGTGGCCACGCTCTTTGGGCTGCATGCCGGAGAAGATGCTGAAAATGCAGGCCTACATGACGGCTATGAACATTGCCGAAGATCGCATCAAGCCAACCACGGAAAGAGGCAAGGTAGCCACATGGGCCGCCGCAGGTTGCGTGGCTGGTTTTGCCACCACCATTGCTGGCTGTCCTGCCGAGCTGCTTATGGTACAGGTGAGTGTTTGATGGCCGTCATCCTGTGTGTGTGTGTGTGGGGGGGGGGGGGGGGGGGGGCATATTTGTAATTTTCTTGCCTTGGAATATCTTTATGTATTGAACTCTCTCGGCTCTTCCGCTATTTTTATATGTCTTCAACTCTTGCTCTCTTTCCCATTCCATCCGCATTTCTCCTGTCAACGGTCGCGGGAATTGACTCCTTTCTGGTTTGCTTCTGCATGCATGCGAGCACGCACGCATGTGTGTGCGTGTGTGTGCATGTGTGTGTGCATGCATGCTCATAACTTTTTTTCCCTGTGTGCAGGCACAAACAGGCAACATCAGCGTGCGCGAGTTCTTTCGCCAGCGCGGTCTCCGAGGCGTGTATCAGGGAGCCTCCGTGGCCGTGTGGCGTGATGTGGCATTCAACATGACCTTCTTTGTGTCTCGCCAGGCCTTCATCAGCATGTATCATAGCCAGTTTGGCTCCGAGCCGGTCAACTCTGCCAAATGGGCGGTCGGTGTCGTTGCAGGTGAGGGAGAGGTGTCTGTTTTGATTCGCACTGCTTTTGTGCTAGGTTTAGAGAGAGAGGGAAAGAGACAGAGAGTGGGAAAGAGACAGAGAGAAGGAAAGAGACAGAGAGTAGCTGCGTGGGGAGTTGTGTACTCGTGGCTGAACTACTCATCTCCAGTTAGAACTGTGTCCGTGCGTACATCTCTTTTGGTCATTGTCACAGCTACTTTGTTTAGGAATAGGTGTAAAAGCGGTTTCGGTAGTGTTAACATATCGTCAGTGGCGTTCCCCCTTGTCTGAACCTCGGAGATGACGTTGAGGGGCATCTGTAGTCTGTACACCATCCTTCCGTTGGCGCTCGGCAAGAGCATGTGAAGCAACATTGCTATGACGAACGTGTCCAACCTAGCGGCGACATTGCGCTAGCAGCTTGGGCACGCCGGTAGCATCCCACGCATGGCGGATGGCTGTCTGAGAACAGTGACAAGCACACGCTACAACAAACACATCGGGCAGCTTACGTTGGACAAGTCTCCAGGCAGCAAGCACGTTCGCAGCTTGGTCACTCACCGCAGCACCGCTTAGGGACGAGACATCTTTTTCCACAGCGCTCAGAGCTGACTTGGTAAACTCAGCCACATTCTCCGTTGTATGCCTATCTGAAGAGCACGGCTGTAAAAATGCACACTTTTGGCTTGTGTTTTGCGGTATTTATTCTGGGGTGGCGATGACGTCAATATCACCGTACTGTAGAATCCCGCGGATAGGCCCATAGGCTTATCTGTTTCACAAGGACATTTTGGTGGGCTTATACGCCGACACCAAAATTGTGCTACTGAAAAGTTCCAAGGAAGTGCGAAGTACATTGCTGAAAATCACTGTGCAAACAAAAACAACCGATGATTGTGTTGAAATGTACAAAACAAAACAAACAAAAAACGTACATGGTACGACCAAGAGTATTATGCTCTTGGTACGACCTGTGCTATAGGCCCATGAAGCTTCGCGATGTTCGAACTTGGCCTGGGCTTATCCGCGGGATTCTACGGTATTTGATGCAGTCAGTGTTTGAAATAAAAAATAAAAAAGTAAATTATCGTGTCCGTTCCTGAAGGGAACTCACGACGGCCGCTAACACCCGGTACCACACCAAGAAATTTCGAGCAATTCATTTGGCTGGATCTCTGGCCGGAGTGAAAATGGAAACAAACTGATAAATTTCACCATCTTCGTAACAAACAAAATCAATTGTTGTCTTCTGCCTGGTCGCGTAGTGGCTGGCAAGTGAACTGGTTTTGCTGCTGCTGCTGCTGTTCTCTCTGTTCTCCCCCGTTGTGCGCGTCCATGCAGGTATGCTGGCCGCATCCGCCTCCTGCCCGCTGGACGTCGTCAAGACACGCATGCAGGAGAAAGACGCGTCGCGTCGCAACTGGCCTGCCTTGCTGGTCCGCATTGCCCGCAAGGAGGGTGTCGGTGCTCTGTTCCACGGCCTGGGACCGCGCTGCCTCGCCGTTCCCTCCATGATGTCCTTTTTCGCTCTGCTCCACGAGAACATGGAGCTGTACTTCTTTGGCGAGACGGTGCTCAAGCATTAGTCGCCATGATGTCATCACATGCAGTCATCACATGCAGTCATGTGACTCGTGCTGATGACTCTAGCAATGTCATCTCGCTGTGATCATCATTTGACCGTGAGTGATCGCACTGTTAAGGCCATCTATGCGGCAGATGTAGACCATGCGAACAACGATGTGTGTGTGGGTGTGTGTCTTTGACACGGTATTAAAACGATAGGCGTGCAGGCCAGGACACAAATATCTGTACACTGGTTCTGCTGCTGCCTTCCACGGGTGGACGTTAACTATCATTATTTTGTACCGGGCGCATTCCACGACTTTGGCCAGTTGAGCTATGGCAGTGTGCTCTGCTCCAACCGCGCCAGCTGTTTTTCTGTGTGCGTTGTGTGTGTGTGTGTTTCTCTCTCTCTCTCTCTCTCTCTCTCTCTCTCTCTCTCTCTCTCTCTCTCTCTCTCTCTCTCTCTCTCTCTCTCTCTCTCTCTCTCTCTCTCTCTCTCTCTCTCTCTCTCTCTCTCTCCCTTGTGTATGTGTGCCTGTGTGCTAATTTCTAATTCCACCATCCCTCTACTTGAGTTGATATCTTGTGTGCAGGCCAGTTCTTGGCTTTGCGTCCAACATTATTTTGCCCTTAGCAGCGTTGACGATGCCTCTATTTTTCGCGCTTGAGTTTTGAATTTTGTTCACCAAGGCGTGCTTTGCCGCAGCCGACACGCTACGTGCATTACTCCGCATCGCGTTCGTTCCCTGCAGCATGCATGCCTTCCTTGTCCTCTTGTGTTGATATCCAGTCCGACCTTGATTTTCCAGCACCACCTGCATTGCAGTCTTTTTAACTTTTATTTTTTATTTTGATGGGTATCGCGGCTAGCTCGGCACAGGCCCCTGTTTTTAGGCTCTTCGTCCTGCGAGTACACGTTACTTTCAAAATAATGTTATTCTCCGACCCGCCGTCTTAGTTCTCTTGACTTGATTGCTTGCTGCTGCTGTCAGTGCTGCAGTGTCCTTGCGTGACCTCTAGCTTACCTGCCCAGTAGTAGTAGCACCCAAGTCACTTTTAAGTATCTCTACGTTGAACATTCAATATGCTAGTAGTGCAGCGTAGTCCAGGACAGGACGTGTACGTCCCAGCACCGTACTCCCACTGCCATACTGACCAGGGACTAGTAGTAGACCATGGTAGACCATCGGTATTCCTTACTTACTACTCCTTGATTCCCGTGCAAGATCCGTGTAGCTCAGACCAATCATGTCATGTCCGCACACCCTGGCCTGTTGCGTGCTTGACTTGTATTGAATTGAGAAGATTTTCTCAGTCGTGTTTTGTCTCAGCTTGCTGACCGTCGTCGTTGTCTTGTATGACTTCATGCTCCTTTGGTTAAACGCTTTTTCCGAATTAGTCTTGTTCTGGCCAATGTGGCCGTTGCCTTTAATTTCCAGTGTCTTGTTGACAATCATTGTCATCGAGTGGACGTGTACATGCAAGAATATCTATCAGCGTATGTGTGTGTACGGGTGTCCGTGTGTGAGTGTGTATGTGCATGTACGGGGGTGTGAGTGTGTATGTGCATGTACGCGTTTGTGAGTGTGTACGCGTGTGTTCCGCATGGGATTTTGCACGTCCCTTCACACGTCCTGACTGTGATACTCATCGGTATGTATCTCTTCCTGGGGGGGGGGGGTGAGGCTTGGCCAAGCACTGCCAGCCGTATGCAAGGTGTAGTGTGGGACTGTGCCCCCCTCCCCTTGTGTGTGTGGGTGCACACGAGCACATTACCGGAGTCCGCAAGGTCTCCGACACATTATGAATAAGCCCAGCCTGGAAGTGTGAAGAAACATGTGTGCATGTGTGTGTGCGTGAGTTCAGACTGCTTCTCCTCGGCCCGATACCTCTATCATGTACAGCAAGAGTACATAACCCCCCAGAGTGTGCAACTCCACTATGGCCAGTATGGGTGCTGTCCCGACAGAATTTCAAGTTGACGTCATTTTGATGATGCAATGCGCGCTGTACACGGATTATCAGACGAATCCGGAACCTGTGGTTGACCGAAGCCGATCGATCCTGTACAAATTATTGCAAAGAAAAACGTGTGATGCGTTGACACCCGTAGGTCTACACATGTTGTAAATCACTGCTGCAAGGAGCATTGCGTCATAAATAATGACGTCAACTTGAAATTCTGTCGGGACAACAGGGTATGTGGGAGTTGCACACTCTGGGGGGTTATGTACTCTTGTGTACAGTCATAGCTACGTGTGTGATTCTGCCAGCATGTGTGAATACAATGGTGAACCGGAATGCAGAGAGAGATGGCATGCGGACGACTGTAACGCCAAGTTAAGGGGGTTCGGGACAGTTAGGCCCAAAAATTTAATTTCAACATCAGCCCAATCTGACATCAGGTTTGAATAGGTACAGCCTTATATTTTCGCTTAGTAACATCAGTTTTTCAACTGCCCGAATAGGTCTTGCCAAAAACACAATTTTCCTTGATGACACAAAATAACATAAAATCCCAAAATTGATGAGAAATCGTCCATAACATCAGTTAGGACAGAAAATATGACCTAAAATTTTACAGACTGTTCGAGGTATTGACTAAGATGATATCAACACCGAAAAATGTACACTTTGGTTGACGATGGGTTCCAGGTCGTCATTTCCTGGAGAAGAACAAAAAGACGCAAAAAATGAAACTTTGAATATTTTTTGCAGCTTATTTTTGAGTTTGCCCCATATATGGATACTTCAAATACGTTCTATAAGTGGGTTGGAACAGGTTTACCGCGGCGAAAATAGGGGTCACCGTGCATATTCTGGAGAAAAATCCAAAAAACTGTCAAAATTTGCCTAAAATTGGTAAATTCACGTATCTATATTGCTTGTACTTCTCTGCTGCTGCTTTGGTCATAACTTATTGGATTTTTGGCTGTTAGGTGTTGCATAAACTCACTAGAGCCCTCGGCGTTCAGAACAATACAAGGATGGAATAGCTGAACTAGTAAATTTGCCGGAAAACCCTGGGTGCACGCATTATCGATAGGTACTTTTCTCCATGATTACTCTCCTGTTGGCACTTGGTTGTGATACATGTACATGTAGCTGTGATAGCGCTTAGCACAGCCCCATATCAAACTACAATGAAAGCTGACATGTTGGAACGAATCAGACAACATTGAGTCCTCTTGTTCTTCAACTATGCGAGCTAGAACGTGTCCCCACACTGGCAAAAATGATGGTATTTTACGGTGTGCACAAACAAGTGAAGCACTGTGCCACAGGGCGTTCCTTACAGTTAGGTTGCTGCTGGTTCTTCGCTAGGTGTTCAGCCACCGCTAATATAATCTTCCTTGAGACTGTCACCCGCTTCTTACCTCCGACTTGCTCCTTCATCAGTCTGGAAATGGCTGGCTCACCACTTCGTTTGTAGGACAAGACAAAGTGCTTCATCACCAACCCACTGGCAGCTGCCCGCACTGCAACTGATTTAGAGAAGCACGTTGCTTGGACCAACGGTTGAAGGGTGGCCAGCCGCTTTTGCTGATGTTCTGCAAACTCCATCGCCGAACATGCTGATGCAAAAGTGACAGAGTTCTACAGGATACTGGCATCAGGGCGAGCTTCGACAATTTCAGCTAGGGCCGCAACATCCGCAACAGCATCATGAGCAGCGAACTCATTCCCAACAATGAACTATAAATCAATCTGAGGCTGTAGCTTGGAAGCTCCGGTATCGCGGTTTAGGGATCAGAGTGTTCACCCAGCACAAAAATGCACACCATCGACACACACACATCCGTGCACACATCCGTGCACACATACACACACACACGCACACACACATGCATGCTCTCACACGCAATAGAACACACGCGCGCGTACACACACATACATTCACACACGTGTGCGTACCCACCCACATGCATGTGTACACTCATGTGCATGAGTGGAGATGCCCGCATACACATGTCACACCAACATGCCCTGGGAGCGGTCATGCACGTGTGTATAGTATGTGTGCGAGGGCACGTCCACATGAGCGCATATGCATGTGCATGCTCATACATGCGTATGGTGCACACATGCACAAACATGCAGGTCTATGCAAACACACACACACTCGCGGCCGCCGCGCATACAGTGTGCTCACACATTTCCATAGCCATAGGGTGGCAATGACTCGCAAATATCATGAATAAATCTTATGAGATTGAAAAACGCACTTACCCAAAGCAGCTTTGGTGTTGCTTGTGGAAGCACGGGGGCCAGGGCGTTGAGCAGTTACAGGGCTATCTGTAATGTATCTATAAAATTCTCCATCCCACACTGCTGACACGGAATGACAAGTACGCTGCCCAGGTCGTACCTCTTCTCTTCAACGCAATCAATGAGCGCCAGAGGTTTGCCACATCCAGGATTCTGGCACGTAGACAATCCCACAGCCAGATACCTGAGATGAACGATTCGTCGACCGTGAAGAGGGACACTGAACGACCTCTTCGCGGGAGTCGAATCCAGTGGCGTTAGTGGTGGAGATCGCCCTTTCCGTTTTTCAGGAACTCGATCGATCG